TTCCAAGTCGAAAAGAATGAAACTTGACTCAGTGTTGGAACCGAGCTGAAACCTTTCCCGAGCTCAACATCTTGCGGCACCTAACTCGGACTGTGCCGGTGGTGCTGCTGGAGTCCGGCGGCCGAAGAAGGGCTTCAACAACTCCTGGAGCCCTTCCCCTCAGACTTCCAACACACTCTGAACATCAGCAGATCCAGTACAAGGTGTAGTGTATTGAGTGTATTGGTGCATTCAGAGAGATGGGGTCCGAGACAAGATGGAAATAATATGAAATAATTAAGTTCAGATCAGCTTGGAACACCTGGATTGTTGTCAGCAAAATGAGTGGCCACAAGCCCAGTTGCCCAACTAGATAAGAATGGGGGGATTGGACTTAGCTGAAGGTCATTCGCACATGGGTGCCAGCTGAACTATGCCTGTGTCAAGTTCATCGTGGGTCGTATGCAGCTTGTCCAAAGGGTCAGTTGGTCACCACAAGGCCCCGGATTCTTGGGTGTGTAATCATTTATCGACAGGTATTTCATGGTATTTCTGAACGTTTGCATTGGTCGCAGCAGAACTGGTTCGTGAGTTTGCAAGTGCAGACAGGTCTGGTCAGCCCCTAATCCAAAATCCAAACCCTGCTTGCTTGTAGATGTGAGCCGCCTCTACGGTCCTTCAGCAAGTCGCAGCAGCGGTGACTGGAAGATGCATTTGCCTGTCTCGATCAATGTTCACCCCTCCAAGGTTCATTCCAAGCACGGAGTTTGTTGATTGTCTTTGCAACTGTAAACTGCAACAATCAAAGGGTTCACTGACCTTGGGAGTTGCAGTCTATATATATATATATATGTGTATTTATATATATATATATACTATTCTGACTATATATGATTATTGCTTGGCACGTTTTCCCTTCACTTTCCTTGAGAGTTTGAGGGTCACTTGGTCCACATCAGTCGTAGACAGGCTCTAAAGTGCCCAGTTTTGCTTCACTGTTTCTCAGGACGCGATATGTCGGCGTTTGCATGTCTGTTGTCTTCTTCTTCTTCTTCTTCTTCTTCTTCTTCTTCTTCTTCTTCTTCTTCTTCTTCTTGTCCTCTCTGTTTTCTGCGCGCGGCCCCCCCAAATAAAACATTTGTTGCGCCTGGTGCAGTATGGAACGTGCAGATTTTATTGCGCTGGAGGGGGCACATGGGGGGCATTGAATTTGACGGATGGGTTTGCGATATGGTGAATTTCACACAATAAACTTCGAAGCGTATTTTATATATATATATGCGAATGGGATCCAAAAAAAAGTTGTCAGCAAAATGAATGGCCGCAAGCCCAGTTGCCCAACTAAATAAGAATGGGGGGATTGGACTTAGCTGAAGGTCATTCGCACATGGGTGCCAGCTGAACTATGCCTGTGTCAAGTTCATCCTGGATCGTATGCAGCTTGTGTCCAAAGGGTCAGTTGGTCACCACAAGGCCGCGGATTCTTGGGTTTGTAATCATTTATCGACAGGTATTTCATGGTATTTCTGAACGTTTGCATTGGTCGCAGCAGAACTGGTTCGTGAGTTTACAAGTGCAGACAGGTCTGGTCAGCCCCTAATCCAAACCCTGCTTGCTTGTAGATGTGAGCCCCCTCTGCTGTCCTTCGGATGCCACAGCAGTACATGTATAAGCAAGCCCCCTAAACATTGCAGAGTTGCTGTGTCAGCTATTTTACAGCAGCGATGAAATATAAAACGCCAACACATACACAAAAGAGCGGGAAAAAAAAACATACAAGGAGGATGACCTGGCTGCATATTCAACAACAGGAATCTTCACACTGCAACCACAAGAGCCTCAGACGCCATCTCCCACTGTCGACCCGAAGCAGAGCAAACCCCGGATTAGATAGAGAAAGCTGCGACGGAAGCGGCATGCGACATCCTGGCCTAAGGCCTAAGGGTCACTTGACAGGACTCGGTTTCCGAAGATTTCATGCACCGAATGCAATATTAGAACTTCACAACCGTCTAACACAACAAGCTCACCGAAAGTCATCCACCTTCCCAACAGCAAAACCACGTCCCTTGGCACCTCAAGATAAAATTGAACCTAAAATTTCGAAGCCGCAATGGGCACACGTTCCAGCCTGCAGGTGTCAACCGTGTCAACCGTGTCAACCGTATAAATATGTGATGAAGACATCCCAGCAGTGAACACACAAAGTGCCCAGTTACCCCTTTTTTAGCAAGCAGTTCGGAGAAAGTCTTGAACATTGAACCGATTCATCAGTGGCAGTGGCACTCAAAGCAAAGGTAGATCCCACATGTTTGCAATCTTTAGTCAAGCTTTGTCGTGATCGGAAGCTTCTTTTCGAAGAGATGTACCTAGCACACCATGATCATTTCCACGGTCGTGACCACTGTTCACCTCATTTCATCTTTTGGCCTTGGCGCAGGTGGCCGTTGGGCCCTTCAAATGGATACGTCATGTCATGATACACATTTTTAGTGGAAAGACACTGACTGTATCATACAGTCAATGAATTTCCCAGCGCCACACGTTGATGGCATTCGCAGGCAGTCATGGCATGGCAATTTTGGTATTTTTTTTTTCGGCCTGTGTCACTGCATTCCGGGAATTAGTACTTGGCGGAGCAAATGGTCAGATTGAAAACCGTATGAAAACGCGAATTCCATGCATACCGCGTTTGCGACAATGGCGCCGCAACTTGCTCACAGGTTTTCGTGCATGCGGTTCATCGCATGCTCAAAAACTTGAAGGCGGCCCTGGCATGGCAGCATCGATTCTGGGAAGCTTGAGGAGTGCTGCATCGGGTGGTGCAGTGAAACATGCAGAATCGAGTGGACATGTGGTTGCAGGACCAAAATTCTAAGAAATAGAGCAAAGCTCCTCAAAGCTATTCTCATTGTCTCTTTGGCGTTTCCAATTTGTGCTTCGGGTGTCTTTCATGCACTGGAAAGGACCGGCTGGATCTTGAAAGAGTCGCCCAAATTTACCATGGTAAACGGGTGAAATGAGCGAGAAAAAGATGTCAGCCACTGCAAAACCAGAACAGAGGCCGGAGGGGCCGCGAACTCCCTGCTGGCTCTTGCACCTCCCTGGGTAGAGGTTGGCACACGCAAAAGTGGTGCAAAGTCATCGTGAAGTTCTTCTCATTACGTGTTTACAGCCCAATAGATGAAGACGACGTTAATGGTACGGCATCTAATGGCAAGTATTAACTGAAGACGACGTTAATGGTACGGCATCTAATGGCAAGTATTAACTGTATTCAAATCTGTTCTGCTCAAAAGCTAAATTCTGCATGATTTCACTTTTCATCCGGCAAATCTCCAATTTAAGTACGATCTCAATTTGTCTACCTAGAAATGGAGCACACGACGAAAGTAGGTGTTTGGCGAAGGCTGATTGCTACATGCTTTGAAGTGGTTCTTTGGTTGGCGAAACGAAATACAAACTCTGCGCCATCCCCTTGCCACGAACCATTTCAAGCTGTGCCCCTTTCCAACCCCTTCCAATCTGCCTCTCCGCCCGAGTATTTTGCTTTGACCCTTGGATGTGCGCAAGGTCTGCACAAAGGGCCCATCGATTTTGGTACAAAAAACGATCATCAAAAGCATCATCGCCATGGCTATCCCGAACAGATACGGGTAGACTCTCCAGTGCATCCATTGATGAAGTCACATTGACAAATTATGTGGGTGGCCACTTGATGGACAGATTATCTATGTGTAAACAGCCTTGTCACTTATTAAACAACCACTTCAAACGTGCCAAAAACCACAACTGATTCAGAAGTGGTCGTCTCGAAAAGAAGTATATAATATGATATATATATAGTATAATTCTTCCAAGTGCCAGAAGTTCGAAACCCCTTGTAGAATTTTGAAGCTTTCAATTTCAGATCTCGAATTTGGTTTGAGCGCAAGCCTTTAGCCAGAAATTGAAGGGCGTTTTTCCTAGAAACATCCAGTTTTACGCCTGCATCATCCAACTAAGCCTGTGCATCCACCTAGACCTGTGCAACATCGAATTTCACCTTGTGCAATATACATACATGTTCAACGGAACATGCTCAAAATGTGCTCAATTGATTGAAATACTCAGAGGTGCAAGCGAAACTCAGCGAAAGCGGTCATTTCGAAGGAAAGGGTCGCTTGGGATAACATCTTTACCATTTGAAATGATCCTTCACCAACATGCATTTGTTCGCATATGCTGTGCGTGCATTATCTTGCTATCTCTTTTTTCTATTGATATATCTATGGATCTACCTATACCTACCCACCTACCTACCTACTTACATCTACCTACATCTACCTACATCTACCTACATCTACCTACATCTACCTACATCTACCGACATCTACCTACATCTACCTACATCTACCTACATCTACCTACATCTACCTACATCTACCTACATCTACCTACATCTACCTACATCTACCGACATCTACCTACATCTACCTACATCTACCTACATCTACCTACATCTACCTACATCTACCTACATCTACCTACATCTACCTACATCTACCTACATCTACCAACACCTACCTACATCTACCTACATCTACCTACATCTAACTACATCGACCGACACCTGCCTACATCTGCCTACATCTACCTACATCTACCTACTAATCTACCTACTAATCTACCTACTAATCTACCTACTAATCTACCTACTAATCTACCTACTAATCTACCTACTAATCTACCTACTAATCTACCTACATCTACCTACATCTACCTACATCTACCTACATCTACCTACATCTACCTACATCTACCTACCTACCTATTGGGGGCATAGTCAGCCAATGGTTCGTATCCTGGGTTGGCGGCTGGCATTGTGAAACATCGAATTTACACATCTACGGAATTCCAGGTGTTGGCAGCGAAAGATGGAACCTCTTTGCGTGGGCTGCCCTCAATGGAGATGCTCCCTTGGAAGTACTCGTGGTCACCATGGATTGTCCAACAAAGACGTGTCCATCCCAACTGAGTGTTCAAATCATCTCAGCTCCAGCGTGTGACTCTACGAATCTCAGCCCCAGCAATCTTCGCAGCATAGCGCAGCTGAGCATCAGCTCCTTCTGCTCTTTCTCCATCTGATCCAGCTCTTCAGGATGGTCTTTTGGATCTGGCCAATTGGCCAGCGTCTCCTGCAGGGACTGCGGAAAAAAACAGCTTGGTGCCCGAAAATCCCAAGCCCGGATGGTAATTCAAGATGCTGAGGAAACATGTCTTTGTTGGTTTTGATCACTGAAGCGGCAATCCAGAGGTATACAATGAGTGAAGCCATTGACACAATATCAAGTTCCACACAATTGGACTTGGACCCTTTAACCCATGCACGCTCAAAACTGCTGCCGCCAGTCACGGCCAGCCCTCACATAGTAGGGCCGAAACTTGCAGTAGTTGTCACAGAGGAAACATTACATGGGCATCCCCCAACAAAAAACACCACTAAGTTCAGTTCGACCTGCTGAATGTTCGGTTTGACTGTCCAGGAATGTCTTAAACAATGAAAAGTGATATGAGTTCTGCCTCTCTCTGAACATGGCACCTCCAGCTGGTCGAACTCGATTGTCAACATCGCCACACCGCAAAAGGGCGTGCTGGCGTGGCGTGGGGGTGGTTTCCTCCTTCCTGGAAAATCAAAAAAATTAATAAGAATGATATGTTTCCCGATCAACGCCACTTTAGAACATGCTGACATGCTCCTTTTCGGTTTCACATTTGATAAAACATGAGAAAACACCACTCTGGACACAAAGATGTTTGACCATTGAGCCACCTGTTTGAAATCATTGTGAACATCACAAGCTGGTGGCACCCCCTACGCGAAAACATCTCAAGATCATAATCTGGGCCCGTTCCTGACCCTGACCCAACCGCCGTATGCCCCAGCTGCCTTCCCTCGCACTCTATGCCGTGTTGCGTCACTTCGACGCAAAGTAGAGGTCTTGTGGCCATACCTGGTGGAGGGTTCAATGAGAAAAGCCAAGGTTTGTGGTGTATTTGATACACTGGTAGCTTCGTAAGCTGGAAAACGAAGACTGATTTCAAGGTATTGCTGCCCTGGTCAAAGAAGACAAGTGTCAGACTGAGTCAGACTGCTTGTGCGACGACAACTGATCAACCTTACATAGTTGAACAATCAACATTCTCCAGACCCCCAAACTCCATCACTGCATTTTGAATCACAATTTACCTTGACGGGTCTTAAGTCTTAACTGTCTTAACTTCCGATTCCCATAATGTTCCTCGATGTTCCTCAATGTTCCTCTTGAAAGTTATCCATCCATCTGGGTTTCTAGCAAACTCGCTGTCACTAGTTGCACTTGGCTAATGCCTCAAGAACTGCCAATGATCACGACATTTAGACGAGGAATGATGAAGAGATATTCTCCCAACCCGTGGCTATGGCATATCGAAAAAGCATGAAAAGTGATGAAAAATGTCATTAAGACTACCCCTCGCTCGCTTTAGTAAAGAATTCTGTGTTAGTGTTGTCCTGCTAGGGTGCCAGATGGGCCGCCGAGGATGATAGCAGAGCTGAAGAAATCATTTTTCGGCTCCTGCAAGAAACATAAAGAAATGCCACAGCATGGTTGCTGGAGCGGCTGGAGTGAATGCTAGCACTGCCAGTGGCAGCACGTGAAATGCCGATATCAGATTAAATATGTGAGAATGGGCTGAAAATTGGGAAACAGGAAACTCTTTCGTCCCTCGTGGCAAGCGGACTCACCAGCTCAAAATCTGGACATCTATCGGAAGCCTAGGGCCTAGTGGGCACTCCCAGCCGGATAAAATCAATGCATATCCATGCCAGAATTAAAACATATTTCTTGTCAATTGCCTGGGTTGGGGATAGACAGAGCACATGGCCCTGCCCAGCCCTACACAAAAGTCACAAATACCCGAGGAAACAACTGCTGCTCCAATTTATCCAAATAACGCTTTTGAAACATGTCTCTACATATTTGATCGTCTCTGAACATAATTTGACATAATCTCACGCAATGTCGAGCTGAAGAATCTGTACCTTCTCTGAAATATGGTGACACGAAAGTTTAGCGAACTAACCTCTATATCGCCAACTGAAACCCAGCGCTCTGATGAGCAAATTTGTCACATCAATATGGAACATGTGTTTCATAATACCAAGCAAACACGGGCGCTGAACTTGTCAACCCCGCATTTTGATTGGCTAGAAAGATGGTGTCTTGGAACAAACAGGTGCTGTAAAATCAAGACCCACAGCTGACACCATCGGGGTGACCCTGCCCTCCGGCGCCTCCGCTGCTGCGAGGGCCATCTGTACATCCCCGACATTGGCGCGGAGCGCCCTCAAGCAGTTTATCAAACCTGAGGATTGGCCGCCGGTAGGTTGCATTCTTCAAAAAACGATCGATTCGTGGTGGATTTCCCAGAAGTGCCCGGGATTCACCTTCGTTCCACATAAATATCTGTATATGTGAAATATGCAAAATATGTATATCTACTTCAAAAAATGCCAGCTTGAGTAGCTATCAACATCTTCAGCGATTCTCATGTTTTCCATTGTATCTGTCAGAAATGGAAACTTGAAGTGGAAGCTTCCTTAGGAAATCCTTTTCAGAATGGAACGCCCACAGAGAAGGCAAATTATAAGAAATGGCACGGTCCGCCGAGGTGCATGGCGGGCCCTCACGTGGCGGTTTCGGCACATAAGCACGCCGTGCCACCTCTGTCACCTCTGCCACCTCTGCCACCTCTGCCACCTCTGCCACCTGCTGTTGCGGCTCTTGGGTCACTTGCGGCACCTGCGGCACCTGCGGCAGCACCTGTGGCAGCACCTGCGGCAGCACCTGCGGCATCTGCTGCGGCATCTGCTCCTGGTTTGGTGCCTGGCCAGGAATGCATGATGCTCACAATTTCCCGAGGCGCTTTCATGCCAGCCAACGGGTTGGCCGGGTTGGCTGCAAAATAATTCTGGCCCCTTACAACTTGAAATCTTTGCCGATCGTGAGCATGCCAAATACCCTAGGAAATGTGCTGCCTCTGCAGGCGTCGCAGATGCCACAACCTGTTTCAGCTCACGCTGACCTTGGCAGCGGCTGCTCACCCCTGGGAGCTCTTGGCATTCTAAAACCCTCAGTTCTCTCCGGATGACCGTTTAAAAGCTGTATAAGGGTCAAGGTTGTGAACTATTTGAGTTTGGTGTTTTCAGTCGGAGACGTGAAGTCCTATCACCTCTGGAGTTGATTCCGCGTCACTGACCTTGGGAGTTGAATTCTATACTATTGTGATCTATTATGACTTCGTTCAGTCCAGAGTAAATCTGCCGTTTCACACGGTTTCCCTTCACTTTCCTTTCGAGTTTGAGGGTCAGTTGGGTTGCATGTTCTGTCGTAGATAGACTCTAAACTCACCGGTCTTGCTTCACTGCTTCTCACAGTACGACATGTCGGCGTTTGCATCTGCTTTTCTTGTTGCGTTCTTTTTCTTGTTCTTCTTCTTCTTCTTCTTTTTCTTCTTCTTCTTCTTCTTCCTCTTCCTCTCCATCTCCATCTTCTTCTTCTTCTTCTTCTTCCTCCTTCTCCTCGTCAACCTCTTCCTCTTCCTCTCCATCTTCATAATCTTCTTCTTCATCGCCGTCATGTTCTTCGCCTTCTTGTTCTTCTTTTCTCTTTCTCCTCCTGGCTCTTCTTGTTCTTGTGCTCTCTGTTTTCTGCATGCCGGGCCCCCAACTGAAACATGTTTGCGACTGGTGCAGCATGCGACGTGCAGATTATGTCGCTGGAGGGGGGGCATAGGGGGCTTTGAAATTAATAGATGTGTGCGTCTGTGATATGGTGAATTCTGGACAATAAACTTTGAAGCAAATGCAAACAACTTGCACCAGAAACAGGCTCAATTGAAACTGAATTCATTTTTTTGAACTCTGACTTTCAGTCGCTTCCCGAGGTCTGCTAGCCTTCACGTTCAACTTTCTCCAAACTCTGACCTCTATCCAGCTGTTCCTCCTGAAGTGGGAATGCTTGACTTCCTGATTTAGAACTGATGATTTGGTTTGTTCCAGTGAACCGCGGATTGTCTCTCAATGGATCATTAGCATTGGCACCCAGAACGGAGGCATTTTCAAGGGCACCGGCCAGTCTGTCTGCCATGTTTCCAGCGCCCCAACGGCCCGCTGCCACCAAGAGGCATGCTGGCACAGGTTCTTCCAAGAGAGTAGAACCTGCAAGACATGGCTACACCCAAATCTAGGATGGACTGCCGCAATGTCGAGCACCTTCCAAGCCGAAAAGAATGAAACTTGAAAAGGTTGAAAAAGGCTCGGGAATGACAAGTATGGCCACCTCAGTGTTGGAACCGAGAGGAAACCTTTCCCGAGCTCAACATCTTGCGGCACCTAACTCGGACTGTGCCGGTGGTGCTGCTGGAGTCCGGCGGCCGAAGAAGGGCTTCAACAACTCCTGGAGCCCTTCCCCTCAGACTTCCAACACACTCTGAACATCAGCAGATCCAGTACAAGGTGCAGTGTATTGAGTGTATTGGTGCATTCAGAGAGATGGGGTCCGAGACAAGATGGAAATAATATGAAATAATTAAGTTCAGATCAGCTTGGAACACGTGGATTGTTGTCAGCAAAATGAATGGCCACAAGCCCAGTTGCCCAACTAGATAAGAATGGGGGGATTGGACTTAGCTGAAGGTCATCCGCACATGGGTGCCAGCTGAACTATGCCTGTGCCAAGTTCATCGTGGATCATGCAGCTTGTGTCCAAAATCCTGTCAAATTATGGCGCAATTTCATTGTTAGGCCGCCAGTTGGCCACGAGGCCCCGGATTCTTGGGGTTGTAATCATTTATCGACAGGTCTTTCTGAACATTTGCATTGGTCGCAGCATAACGGGTTGATGAGTTCACTGCAGACAGGTCTAGCCAGCCCCCAATTCAAGCCCTGCTTGCTTGTAGATGTGAGCCCCCTCTACTGTCCTTCAGCAAGTTGCAGCAGCGGTGGCTGGAAGATGCATTTGCCTGTCTCGGTCAATGTTCACCATCCAAGGTTCATTCCAAGCATGGAGTTTGTTGATTGTTTTTGTAACTGTAAACTGCAACAATCAAAGGGTTCACTGACCTTGGGAGTTTGAAGGTCAGTCGGTCCACATGCTCTGTCTTAGACAGGTTTTAAAGTCACCAGTTTTGCTTCAGTGTTTCTCAGGGTACGACATGTCGGCGTTTATTTGCATGTATTTTTCTCTTGTCTTCGATTTCTTGTTTTTTTTCTGTCTCTTCTCTCTTCTCTCTTCTTTCTTCTTTCTTCTTTCTTCTTTCTTCTTCCTTCTTCCTTCTTCCTCTTCGTCTTCGTCTTCTTCTTCCTTCTTCCTTCTTCCTCTTCGTCTTTGTCTTCTTCTTCCTCTTCGTCTTCATTTTTTTCTTTCTCTTCTTCTTCTTCTTCTTCTTTTTCTTCTTTTTCTTCTTTTTCTTCTTCTTCTTCCTCCTCTTCGTCTTCCTCTTCTTCCTCCTCCTCCTCTTCTTCTTCTTTTTCTTTTTCTTCTTCTTCTTCTTCTTCTTCTTTTGGTTCTTCTTGTTCTTGGCCTCTCTGTTTTCTGCCCGCCGGACCCCAAATAAAACAATTTTTGCGCGGCTGGTGCAGTATGGAACGTGCAAATTTTATTGCGCTGGAGGGGGCACATGGGGGGCTTTGAATTTAATGGATGGGTTTGCGATATGGTGAATTTCACAGAATAAAGTTCGAAGTAAATGGGATGACTTGGCTGCATATTCAACACTAGGAATCTTCACAGTGCAACCACAAGAGCCTCAGACGCCATCTTCCACTGTCGACCCGATGCAGATCAAACCCCGGATGAGATAGAGAAAGCTGCGACGGAAGCGGCATGCAAGACATCCTGGCCTAAGGGGCACTTGACAGCATTCGGAGTCTGAAGATTTCATGCGCACGGAATGCATTTTTAAAGAGACAAGAGATGGGAACTACTTGAACTGCTGTGGCATGGGAAGTCTTGCGAGCCACGGAAAGTCATCAACGTTTCCAGCAGCAAAACCACGTCCCTTGGCACCTCGAGGTAAAGTTGAACCTCAAATTTCGAAGCCGCAATGGGCGTCGTAGGTTTCAGCCTGCAGGTGTCAACCATGTCAACCATAAAATGATTCCAGAATTGCTCTCCAACAAGCAAATCAAATAGAGAAATCAAACGGTAAAATCGTGTAAAATAGATCAAAATAATTCAAAATAGTGTGAACTAAACCAAATGTCCCCGAAGGCATTTTATGCGAGTACGCACAGGATGCCATTTTCGGAGACTTCCACACAAAATAAAGGTCTCTTCGGCACACCTGGTGTAAAGGGGAGCTTGTTGAGTTTGCGGAGTATCCCAACTTCAAAGGGCTCGGAAGTTGCTGGGGCTGGAAGTTCTTATATGCAAATACACATGATGCAGACATCCCAGCAGTCAACACACAAAGTGCCCAGTTACCATTTTCAGCAAGCAGTTCGGAGAAAGTCTTGAACATTGAACCGATTCATCAGTGGCAGTGGCACTCAAAGGTAGATCCCACATGTTTGCAATCTTTAGTCAAGCTTTGTCGTGATCGGAAGCTACTTTTCGGAGAGATGTTCCTAGCACACCATGATCATTTCCACCGTCGTGACCACTGCTCACCTCATTTCACTGTTGGCCTTGGCGCAGGTGGCCGTTGGGCCCTTCAAATGGACACGTTATGCTACACATTTTCACTGGAAAGACGCTGACTGTATCATACAGTCAATGAATTTCCCAGCACCACACGTTGATGGCATTCGCAGGTCATGGCATGGCAATTTTGGATTTTATTTCGGCCTGTGTCACTGCATTCCGGTAATCAGTACTTGGCAGAGCGAATGGTCAGATTGAAAACGGTATGAAAACACGAATTCCATGTCAAATACAAGATATGCGACAATGGCGCCGCAAACATAAGTCTTACCCGTATATGCTGTTCATGGCCTTCTCAAACACCTCCAGGCGGCCCTGGCATGGCAGCATGTGCTGCATCGGGTGGTGCAGTGAAACAAGCAGAATCTAGTGGACATGTGGTTGCAGGACCAAAATTCTAACAAATACAGCAAAGCTCCTCAAAGCTATTCTCATTGTTTGTTTGGCGTTTCCAATGCGCTCCGGGTGTCTTTCATGCACTGGAAAGGATCGGCTGGATCTTGAAAGAGTCACCCAAATTTACCATGGTACAACAGGTGAAATGAGCGAGAAAAAGATGTCAGCCACTGCAAAACCAGAACAGAGGCCGGAGGGGCCGCGAACTCCCTGCTGGCTCTTGCACCTCCCTGGGTAGAGGTTGGCACACGCAAAAGTGGTGCAAAGTCATCGTGAAGTTCTTCTCGTTACGTGTTTACAGCCCAATAGATGAAGACGACGTTAATGGTACGGCATCTAATGGCAAGTATTAACTGTATTCAAATCTGTTCTGCTCAAAAGCTAAATTCTGCATGATTTCACTTTTCATCCGGCAAATCTCCAATTTAAATACGATCTCAATTTGTCTACCTAGAAATGGAGCACACGACGAAAGTAGATGTTTGGCGAAGGCTGATTGCTACATGCTTTGAAGTGGCTCTTTGGTTGGCGAAACGAAATACAAACTCTGCGCCATCCCCTTGCCACGAACCATTTCAAGCTGTGACCCTTTCCAACCCCTTCCAATCTGCCTGTGCACCCGGGTATTTTGCTTTGACCCTTGGATGTGTGCAAGGTCTGCACAAAGGGCCCATCGATTTTGGTACAAAAGACGATCATCAAAAGCATCATCGCGCATGGCTATCCCAAACAGATACGGGTAGACTCTCCAGTGCATCCATTGATGAAGTCACATTGACAAATTATGTGGGTGGCCACTTGATGGACAGATTATCTACGTGTAAACAGCTTTGTCACTCAAGCAACCACTTCAAACGTGCCAAAAACCACAATTGATTCAGAAGTGGGCGTCTCGAAAAGAAGTATATAATATGATATATATATATATAATGTATTTATATATATATATATTATATATATATGTATATCTATATAATTTTATATATTATATATATAGTAGTATAATTCTTCCAAGTGCCAGAAGTTCGAAACCCCTTGTGGAATTTTGAAGCTTTCAATTTCAGATCTCGAATTTGGTTTGAGCGCAAGCCTTTAGCCAGAAATTTGAAGGGCGTTTTTCCTAGAAACATCCAGTTTTACGCCTGCATCATCCAACTAAGCCTGTGCATCCAACCAGACCTGTGCAACATCGAAGTTCGCCTTGTGCAATATACATACATGTTCAACGGAACATGCTCAAAATGTGCTCAATTGATTGAAATACTCAGAGGTGCAAGCGAAACTCAGCGAAAGCGGTCATTTCGAAGGAAAGGGTCGCTAGGGATAACATCTTTACCATTTGAAATGATCCTTCACCAACATGCATTTGTTCGCATATGCTGTGCGTGCATTATCTTGCTATCTCTTTTTTCTATTGATATATCTATGGATCTACCTATACCTACCCACCTACCTACCTACTTACATCTACCTACATCTACCTACATCTACCTACATCTACCTACATCTACCTACATCTACCGACATCTACCTACATCTACCTACATCTACCTACATCTACCTACATCTACCTACATCTACCTACATCTACCTACATCTACCGACATCTACCTACATCTACCTACATCTACCTACATCTACCTACATCTACCTACATCTACCTACATCTACCTACATCTACCGACATCTACCTACATCTACCTACATCTACCTACATCTACCTACATCTACCTACATCTACCTACATCTACCGACATCTACCTACATCTACCTACATCTACCTACATCTACCTACATCTACCGACATCTACCTACATCTACCTACATCTACCGACATCTACCTACTAATTACCTAATAATCTACTAATTACCTTACTAATCTAATACTAATTACTACTAATCTACCTACATCTACCTACATCTACCTACATCTACCTACATCTACCTACATCTACCTACATCTACCTACCTACCTATTGGGGGCATAGTCAGCCAATGGTTCGTATCCTGGGTTGGCGGCTGGCATTGTGAAACATCGAATTTACACATCTACGGAATTCCAGGTGTTGGCAGCGAAAGATGGAACCTCTTTGCGTGGGCTGCCCTCAATGGAGATGCTCCCTTGGAAGTACTCGTGGTCACCATGGATTGTCCAACAAAGACGTGTCCATCCCAACTGAGTGTTCAAATCATCTCAGCTCCAGCGTGTGACTCTACGAATCTCAGCCCCAGCAATCTTCGCAGCATAGCGCAGCTGAGCATCAGCTCCTTCTGCTCTTTCTCCATCTGCTCAAGCTCTTGAGGATGGTCTTTTGGATCTGGCCAATTGGCCAGCGTCTCCTGCAGGGACTGCGGAAAAAAACAGCTTGGTGCCCCGAAAATCCCAAGCCCGGATGGTAATTCAAGATGCTGAGGAAACATGGCTTTGTTGGTTTTGATCACTGAAGCGGCAATCCAGAGGTATACAATGAGTGAAGCCATTGACACAATATCAAGTTCCACACAATAGGACTTGGACCCTTCAACCCATGCACGCTCAAAACTGCTGCCGCCAGTCACGGTCAGCCCTCACATTGTAGGGCCGAAACTTGCAGTAGTTGTCACAGAGGAAACATTACATGGGCATCCCCCAACAAAAAACACCACTAAGATCAGTTCGACCTGCTGAATGTCCGGTTTGACTGTCCAGGAATGTCTTAAACTTAAACAATGAAAAGTTATATGAGTTCTGCCTCTCTCTGAACATGGCACCTCCAGCTGCTCGAACTCGAGCGTCAGCATCGCCACACCGCAACAGGGCGTGCTGGCGTGGCGTGGGGGTGGTTTCCTCCTTCCTGGAAAATCAAGAAAATGAATAAGAATGATATGTTTCCCGATCAACGCCACTTTAGAACATGCTGACATGCTCCTTTTCGGTTTCACATTTGATAAAACATGATAAAACACCACTCTGGACACAAAGATGCTTGACCATTGAGCCACCTGTTTGAAAAATTGTGAACATCACAAGCTGGTGGCACCCCGTATGCGCAAAATCTCAAGATCACAATCAATCTGGGCCCGTTCCTGACCCTGACCCAACCGCCGTATGCCCCAGCTGCCTTCCCTCGCACTCTATGGTTTGTTGCGTCACTTCGACGCAAAGGAGAGGTCTTTTCGGCATACCTGGTGGGGCCCTCAATGAGAAAAGCCAAGGTTTGTGGTGTATTTGATACACTGGCAGCTTCGTAAGCTGGAAAACGAAGACTGATTTCAAGGTATTGCTGCTCAAAGAAGACAAGTGTCAGACTGAGTCAGACTGCTTGTGCGACGACAACTGATCAACCTTACATAGTTGAACAATCAACATTCTCCAGACCCCCAATTCCATCCCTGAATTTTGAATCACAATTTACCTTGACGGGTCTTAAGTCTTAACTGTCTTAACTTCCAATTCCCGTAATGTTCCTCGATGTTCCTCAATGTTCCTCTTGAAAGTTATCCATCCATCTGGGTTTCTAGCAAACTCGCTGTCACTAGTTGCACTTGGCTAATGCCTCAAGAACTGCCAATGATCACGACATATCAAGACATGTAGACGAAGAATGATGAAGAGATATTCTCCCAACCCGTGGCTATGGCATATCGAAAAAGCATGAAAAGTGATGAAAAATGTCATGAAGACTACCCCTCGCCCGCTTTAGTAAAGAATTCTGTGTTAGTGTTGTCCTGCTATTTTGCCAGATGGGCCGCCGAGGATGATGGCAGAGGTGAAGAAATCATTTTTCGGCTCCTGCAAGAAACATAAAAAAATGCCACAGCAAGGTTGCTGGAGCGGCTGGAGTGAATGCTAGCACTGCCAGTGGCAGCATGTGAAATGCCGATATCAGATTAAATATGTGAGAATGGGCTGAAAATTGGGAAACAGGAAACTCTTTCGTCTCTCGTGGCAAGCGGACTCGCCACCTCAAAATCTGGACATCTATCGGAAGCCTAGGGCCTAGTGGGCACTCTCAGCCAGATAAAATCAATGCATATCCATGCCAGAATTAAGACATATTTCTTGACAATTCCCTGGGTTGGGGATAGACAGAGCACATGGCCCTGCCCAGCCCTACACAAAAGTCACAAATACCCGAGGAACAACTGCTGCTCCAATCTATCCAAATAACGCCTTTGAAACATGTCTCTACATATTTGATCGTCTCTGAACATAATTTGACATAATCTCACGCAATGTCGAGCTGAAGAATCTGTACCTGCTCTGAAATATGGTGACACGAAAGTTTGGCGAACTAACCTCTATATCGCCAACTGAAAGCCAGCGCTCTGATGAGCAAATTTGTCACATCAATATGGAACATGTGTTTCATAATACCAAGCAAACACGAGCGCAGATTGAACTTGTCAACCCCGCATTTTGATTGGCTAGAAAGACGGTGTCTTGGAACAAACAGGTGCTGTAAAATCAAGACCCACAGACACCATCGGGGTGACCCTGCCCTCCGGCGCCTCCGCTGCTGCGAGGGCCATCTGTACATCCCCGGGGTTTGCGCGGAGCGCCCTCAAGCAGTTTATCAAACCTGAGGATTGGCCGCCTGTAGGTTGCATTCTTCAAAAAACGATCGATTCGTGGTGGATTTCCCAAAGTGCCCGGGATTCACCTTCGTTCCACATAAATATCTATACACATATATATATATATTATTATATATATATAGTGAAATATTTCACTATATATATATATGTGTGTATATATATAGAGTGAAATATATATATATATAGTGAAATATATATATATATAGTGAAATATATATATATATAGTGAAATATATATATATAGTGAAATATATATATATATATTGTGAAATATATATATATATAGTGATATATATATATATATAGTGAAATATATATTATATATATAGTGAAATAATGTGAAATATTTGAAACTTGAAGTGGAAGCTTCCTTAGGAAATCCTTTCAGAATGGAACGCCCACAGCAAAGGCAAATTATGAGAAATGGCACGGTCTGCCGAGGTGCATGGCGGGCCCTCACGTGGCGGTTTCGGCACATAAGCACGCCGTGCTACCTCTGTCACCTTTGCCACCTCTGCCACCTCTGCCACCTCTGCCACCTCTGCCACCTCTGCCACCTGCTGTTGCGGCTCTTGGGTCACTTGCGGCACCTGCGGCACCTGCGGCAGCACCTGCGGCAGCACCTGCGGCAGCACCTGCGGCAGCACCTGCGGCATCTGCTGCGGCTGGTTTGGTGCCCGGCCAGGAATGCATGATGCTCACAATTTCCCAAGGCGTTTTCATTCCAGCCAACGGGTTGGCCGGGTTGGCTGCAAAAAAATCTGGCCCCTTACAACTTGAAATCCTTGCCGTTCGTGAACATGCCAAATACCCTAGAAAATGCGCTGCCTCCGTCACAGATGCAACCATCTGTTTCAGCTCACGCTGACCTTGGCAGCGGCTGCTCACCCCTGGGAGATCTTGGCATTCTAAAACCCTCAAGTCTCTCCGGATTACCGTTTAAAAGCTGTACAAGGGTCAAGGTTGTGAACTATTTGAGTTTGGTGTTTTCAGTCCGAGACGTGAAGTCCTATCACCTCTGGAGTTGATTCCGCGTCACTGACCTTGGGAGTTGAATTCTATACTATTGTGATCTATTATGACTTCGTTCAGTCCAGAGTAAATCTGCCGTTTCACACGGTTTCCCTTCACTTTCCTTTCGAGTTTGAGGGTCAGTTGGGTTGCATGTTCTGTCGTAGATAGACTCTAAACTCACCGGTCTTGCTTCACTGCTTCTCACAGTACGACATGTCGGCGTTTGCATCTGCTTTTCTTGTTGCATTCTTTTTCTTGTTCTTCTTCTTCTTCTTCCTCTCCATCTTCTTCTTCTTCTTCTTCTTCTTCTTCGTCTTCTTCTTCTTCCTTCTTCTTCTTCTTCTTCCTCTCCATCTTCTTCTTCTTCTTCTTCTTCTTCTTCGTCTTCTTCTTCTTCTTCCTCCTTCTCCTCGTCAACCTCTTCCTCTTCCTCTACATCTTCATAATCTTCTTCTTCATCGCCGTCATGTTCTTCGCCTTCTTGTTCTTCTTTTCTCTTTCTCCTCCTGGCTCTTCTTGTTCTTGTGCTCTCTGTTTTCTGCATGCCGGGCCCCCAATTGAAACATGTTTGCGACTGGTGCAGCATGCGACGTGCAGATTATGTCGCTGGAGGGGGGCATGGGGGGGCTTTGAAATTAATAGATGTGTGTGTGTGTGATATGGTGAATTCTGGACAATAAACTTTGAAGCAAATGCAAACAACTTGCACCAGAAACAGGCTCAATTGAAACTGAAATTCAGCTTTTTGAACTCTGACTTTCAGTCGCTTCCCGAGGTCTGCTAGCCTTCACGTTCAACTTTCTCCAAACTCTGACCTCTATCCAGCTGTTCCTCCTGAAGTGGGAATGCTTGACTTCCTGATTTAGAACTGATGATTTGGTTTGTTCCAGTAAACCGCGATTGTCTCTCAATGGATCATTAGCATTAGCACCCAGAACGGAGGCATTTTTAAGGGCACCGGCCAGTCTGTCTGCCATGTTTCCAGCGCCCCAACGGCCCGCTGCCACCAAGAGGCATGCTGGCACAGGTTCTTCCAAGAGAGTCGAACCTGCAAGACATGGCTACACCCAAATCTAGGATGGACTGCCGCAATGTCGAGCACCTTCCAAGCCGAAAAGAATGAAACTTGAAAAGGTTGAAAAAGGCTCGGGAATGACAAGTATGGCCACCTCAGTGTTGGAACCGAGAGGAAACCTTTCCCGAGCTCAACATCTTGCGGCACCTAACTCGGACTGTGCCGGTGGTGCTGCTGGAACCCCATGAATGCAAATCCAAGGCAAGCCAGAGCAGATGGATGCAAAATGAGCACAACGGCCACATCACAGCAAGCATGATGAAAAGAAAACGCTTGTGACCTCCTTCGGGTTTCGGAAGGAATTTCAAAAAGAAGAGTGTGAACATTCCACCCTTGATGATCATGAAATAGTTGTCAAAAACCAGCACATACCACCAGTAGTCTTGTCGATCTTCCCCCTTGTTGACCACATTTGCCAGTGTGAGCCAAACCAGGTTGAAGAAAACGGGGCTCAAAGCTGCCAGCATCAGCATAGTATTGGCAAAAAGCCATGCAGCTTTGGACGGCATGCCCTTATATGCAGATTGATCTTCAGGACTCAAACCCACTGGCGGAGTTGCATGCCCATTATCTAGCTGATTTCGCATTTGCTGATCGAAACCAACCAATCCTTTGATGTCTTTGTCGTCCAAAGCTTCCAAGGGGGAAACAAGGTTGAATGTCAACGGGGCACTCCTGGGCCTTCGCTTCACTAAAATCGGATCCACAGAAGCTATCCGTCCACATTGCCAGGGTTCTTCCTCGTCATCTCGCACTGCCACCAACTGGCCAACCTGGTATTTGTGACTCATTGCTTGGCGAGCTAGAAAATAAGTTGCAGAAACTCAGCAAGTGGTTTTCATGGTTGCTGTCATTGCTGTGAAACTGCAGTGTGGTTGCTCTTTGCTCTTTGTTTCCTGTCGTTTCTGTAGCTGCGGAAACAGTCAGCACGTCGAATGTTCTTGAAAAATTGTGGTCGATGCGGAAAGAGTCAGCACGTCGAATGTTCTTGAAAAATTGTGGTCAGAACCTTGAACCCTTGGACCAAAATGTGCGAAGAACCAGCGACATGGAAATGAATGTAGGGATTGAAATTCAGATCCCCGAAAAATATGATTTCAGATTTCCTGGGATTCATAAGAAACAAGCAGCAGCACACTGAGATCGATGAAAATATGGTCGTATCATGTCGTATCGTATCATATCGTATCTATTTAAATTTATGTTTATTGTACGGGTTTACCTCATGCCAAGCAAATGGATTGAGAACGGAAACGGGATGCCTGGAACCGCCATCAGAGACGGCAGTTTCAACTCAGGTCCTCAGCACAGCCGCCAGCAATACAGCAACATACAGCAACACATCGCATGCAAACACGGTCAGCCATGGTAACCAATGGTAACCGCTGTCATAAAACCGCTCATGTATCATTTTTCCTGCATGATCCTCGAAGTCTCCCTGCATTGTTTGCACGTCATTTCCGTGCAAACGAATCTCCTTTGTAGGAACTCCTTTGCCTGTCAACTGACATACCAAAGAAGTCTCACAGCTTTTCTTGGATGCAAATAATCATTGCAAAATTAAAGCATGCCTTTTTGGCATTTGGCTTGCAAAAAATGAGTGCAAGCAGGTCATTTCGACAGCAGCTTGCCAAGTCAAGCTTCCCTTGAAGAAGCAATTTGGAACTTGTGCCCCTGCGCAATTCGTTTGCTCTGCCCTTTTTGTTCAAAAAGCGGCAAACGGAAAAAATGTGAGTTGTCCCATGAAAGAAAAAACTCAAACAATCATGAAAGAAACGGTTACAACTACAACCCTCCTCCAGCGAATGTCAAGCCTCAGAATTTCAGCTTTGCGAATGTGAGGTACACATCGCTGTTGCAACAAATGTGGCAGCTTAACACCATGCCAGCTAGGACAGGATCCAGGAAGAGTCGAGCAAAACGACAAAGTCGATATTTGATCAATGCAGGATCAGCACTTTGCAGCCACTGCACAACGATCAACTCGAAGATGTCACAGAAAAGGATCGCAGAAGGAACCACCCATGAAAACAGATCGCGAGGCGCTGTATGATCATGGACATAATTCAGAACGTCCTTCGATGGGCTCAATCGAATCATGGTTCCTGCCAAAAGAAGCATCAGGCTACTTGCAAGCTTGCAACCCATTCGCGGCCAAAAGCGGCAAAACACGATGCCACCAAGCTGCACTGTGAGCAGTTGAAAGAAGCGGAATCGGGAAGGGTCGGCGAAGCCATCCCATACTTTGCCCCATTCCCGACCGCTTCTTTGTACTGCCTCATTTGCCAAAGCCACTTCGAAGCGAACTGGCTTGGGTCGTACAGCCTTTGCTGCACGTTCACGCTCTGCTGCCTTTTCATTCGCCCAGACCTTGAATTTGTCGTCAAACTCCACGGGGACATTGGCCAGTTTTACCTTGGTCTCAGCAAAATAGAAGTAGTACGTCGTTGTTTCGTGAGGATATTCTGCATCTATGGTCCAGGTAAAGACGGCGACAAACCGCTGTGGGACTTCCAGGCAGGTTGCAAAGACTGACAGGAGACAAGTCAGCCGCTCCAAATAACGATACTTGGACCACCTTTGTTCTGCAATGCCCAAGAAAACCTTCCAAGAAGGCACGCCCATGAGCTGCAAGGATTGAAAAGCTGGAGACGACTTGATCCCGAAGTGATAGATGTCAAAGACCATGTCCTTCAAAACCACAAAGGCGACAACTTCAACCCTTGCCATGTACAACATCTCTCGCAGATACATGTATCGGTGCATATCTAAGATGACTGTCGCAAAGTACAGCATCCGTTGTCTGACAATCTCGGGAAAAGGTGCCATGGTATCAAAGAGGAACAGGCCGATCTGCCACACCTTAGCTAACAACGGCATGTAGACTTGTGTAAAGCCGAGTACCCAAAGCAAATCCATGACCGCTCTGGCAAGCTGGGCGTCAGGTAGTCCAAAGTCCCATTCGGAGGATGATTTGAAGCCAAGGACAATGGCGTGAGATGAGCTGATGAAAATCAGATCTGCCACCAGAATCACCACTATGACAACAAAGCGTTTGGTTGCAAAGTAGCGTTCACTTTTCTTGTACTGCACGAAGATGCAAACCGGCATCCAAGCAAAAACAGCTATGGATGCACCCAAGGGGAAATTCAATTTCAAAATACCCCATGAATGCAAATCCAAGGCAAGCCAGAGCAGATGGATGCAAAATGAGCACAACGGCCACATCACAGCAAACATGATGAAAAGAAAACGCTTGTGGCCCCCTGCAGGCTTGGGAAGGAACGTCAAGAAGAAAAGTGTGAACATTCCACCCTTGACAACCATAAAGTAGTTGTCAAAAAACAAAACATACCACCAGTAGTCTTGTCGATCTTCCCCCTTGTTGACCACATTTGCCAGTGTGAGCCAAACCAGGTTGAAGAAAACGGGGCTCAAAGCTGCCAGCATCAGCATAGTATTGGCAAAAAGCCATGCAGCTTTGGACAGCATGCCCTTATATGCAGATTGATCTTCAGGACTCAAACCCACTGGCGGAGTTGCATGCCCATTATCTAGCTGATTTCGCATTTGCTGATCGAAACCAACCAATCCTTTGATGTCTTTGTCGTCCAAAGCTTCCAAGGGGGAAACAAGGTTGAATGTCAACGGGGCACTCCTGGGCCTTCGCTTCACTAAAATCGGATCCACAGAAGCTATCCGTCCACATTGCCAGGGTTCTTCCTCGTCATCTCGCACTGCCACCAACTGGCCAACCTGGTATTTGTGACTCATTGCTTGGCGAGCTAGAAAATAAGTTGCAGAAACTCAGCAAGTGGTTTTCATGGTTGCTGTCATTGCTGTGAAACGGCAGTGTGGTTGCTCTTTGCTCTTTGTTTCCTGTCGTTTCTGTAGCTGCGGAAACAGTCACCATGTCGAATGTTCTTTCAAAGGTCAGAACCCTGAGCCGTTGGACCAAAATATGCGAAGAACCGGCGACATAGGAAAAGTGGATGAAAAATCCATCACAACGTGTAGGTACTCAATTGGAACCTATAGCCATCATGGGCAACTCATTTTTTTCTCCAGTCCCGAGCGCCCAACGCAGAGCACTCAGTGGAAGCCAGCAGCGTAGGTCCTGACCTGCGAGACAAGGCATGTGTTCCTCGATAATGCGACGATGACGATGACGATGACGATGACGATGACGATGATGATGATGATGATGATGATGATGATGATTATGATGATGATGATGAGGAGGAGGAGGATGATGATGATGATGGTGATGGTGATGATGGTGACAACGATGAGGATGATGATGATGATGATGATGATTGTTATGATTATTAATTATGATGATGATTATGATTATGATTATGATGGTGATTATTATGATTATTAAATTATTATCATTATTTTTATTATCATTAGTACTATTATTATTTTGATTTTGATGATGATGATGATGATGATGCTGATGATCATGATCATTATCATGATCATGACCGTAATCATGATGATGATGGTGATGATGGTGATGATGATGATGATGATGCTGATGATCATGATCATGATGATGATGATGATGATGGTGGTGGTGGTGGTGATGATATTGTTGTTGCTGTTGTTGCTGATGATGATGATGATGATTATGATGATGATGATGATGGTGATGATGATGGTGATGATGATGGTGATGATGATGATGATGATGAGGAAGATGAAGATGAAGATGAAGATGAAGATGAAGGGAAGTCTACAAGCACACTGACAGTGATATTGCCCCTGTCAACCGCAGTGTGGTCGGTTCATGGGCAACGCCAGGGCATTTGTCCGAGGAATCATTATGCGAACGTAGTCATCACAGGAAGTTGGCAGCAATCTTCCGAGTTACGGGTGCTTTATTGTGCCAGTTTAGGAAGTGGTGACTTTGGGAAGTGGTGACTTAGGGAAGTGTTGACTTAGGGAAGTGGTGACTTAGAGAAATGTTGACTTAGAGAAGTGGTGACTTAGAGAAGTGGTGACTTAGAGAAGTGGTGACTTCGGAAAGAGGGAAGTGGTGACTTAGAGAAGTGGTGACTTAGAGAAGTGGTGACTTAGAGAAGTGGTGACTTTGGGAAGTGGTGACTTTGGGAAGGGGTGACTTAGAGAAGTGGTGCCTTAGAGAAGTGGTGGCTTAGAGAAATGTTCACTTAGGGAAGTGGTGACTTAGAGAAGTGGTGACTTAGAGAAGTGGTGACTTTGGGATGTGGCGACTTAGGGAAGTGTTGACTTAGGAAAGTGGTGACTTAGAGAAATGTTGACTTAGGGAAGCAGTGACTTACACTTCGGGAAGTGGTGACTTAGAGAAATGTTGACTTAGGGAAGTGGGAGAAGTGGTGACTTTGGGAAGTGTTGACTTAGCGAAATGTTGACTTAGGGAAGTGGTGACTTAGAGAAATGTTGACTTAGGGAAGTGGGAGAAGTGGTGACTTTGGGAAGTGTTGACTTAGCGAAATGTTGACTTAGGGAAGTGGTGACTTAGAGAAGTGGTGACTTAGAGAAGTGGTGACTTAGAGAAGTGGTGACTTAGAGAAGTGGTGACTTAGAGAAGTGGTGACTTAGGGAAGTGGTGACTTAGAGAAATGTTGGCTTAGGGAAGTGGTGACTTAGAGAAGTGGTGACTTTGGGAAGTGTTGACTTGGGGAAGTGGTGACTTTGGGAAGTGGTGACTTAGGGAAGTGGTGACTTAGAGAAGTGGTGACTTAGAGAAGTGGTGACTTAGGGAAGTGGTGACTTTGGGAAGTGATGACTTAGGGAAGTGATGACTTAGAGAAGTGGTGACTTGGGGACGTGGTAGCGGTGCAAAACGCATTGTAATGGCTGCATGTATATTGCATGGGACTTATTTTGGGGAGGAGGCCGGAGCGTGAAACATTGTGTTTTTTTCAGGTAAAGTGGCTGCAGCCGGCGATGATGAAAGGCAGCTCGTGTGCGCGGCGATGCGGGTACGCACGTTCTGACTTTTTTGGTTCCTAGAGGGTGTTCTGCAACGTGCGGTTGTTCATGTGTGCGTAGCTATAGGGTGTTTTGGCATCTGTTGCAGATCGCTGTGTAATGGCTGCGTGATTGTTATCATGTTCTGTTGCCACGTGCGTAGATACAAGCAGGTTTGCCACGTGATGCTGCAAAACGCATTGTAGTGATTATTATAATGGCTGCATGTATGTTTTGTGGAACTTGTTTTGGGGAGAAAGCCGGAGCGCCAAACATTGCGCTTTTTCGTTTCAAGTTTAAAGTGGCTGCAGCCGGCAATGACAGGGAGCTCGTGTGCGCAGCGGGTACGGGTAAGCTCGTTCTGAGTTTTTTTGGTTCCTACAGCGTTCTAGAATCTGCAGTTGCAGATCGCATTTTAGTGGCTGCATCAAGGTTTCTTAGTGCTGTGGCTGCGTGCGTAATACGTAAATCGTATTGGGGTGGCTGGATCAAGGTTGCGATGGTGAGTTCTCAGCAGATTCTTCTCAGCATTGGCGCTGATCATTTTCCTTTGAAAATTCCTTTAAAAAAGTGCTTCAAAATCGTCTTTTTTCGCTCTAGCGCCGAGATCCAGTTTTGGAGCTGCAATTTCTGTTGCCATGGCGCATCATTCTATGGCGTTTTGAAACTCAGTGTCTGCAGATCGCCTTGTAAAGGCTGTATGAAGGTTCCTCGCTGCTGCGGCTGTCTGCGTAATTCTATTGTATTTTGCAGCTGAGAGTCGTGAATCGTATTCGAGTGGCTGCATCAAGGTTGCGATGTTGATTGCCAGCAGATTTTTTTCAGAAGCTTGCTATGTGTAAAGCTTTCTGTGTGTGTGTGTCAAAGCTTGCTGTGCGTAAAAGCTTGCTTTGTGGAAAAGTTTGCTGTGTAAAAACTTCTGTGTGTAAAAAGCTTCTGTGTGTAAAAGGGTGGTGTGTAAAAGCTTCTCATGTTCAGAGGCTTTCTGTGTGTAAACGCTTTTCTGTGTCTCAAGCTTCTGTGTGCAAAAGTTTCTCTGCGCAAAAGCTTTCTGCGCGCAACGGTTTTTGTGTGCACGATCTTCTCTCTGACAATAAAAGCTTTCTGATGTACAGAAGAGCTAAGATAAGCTAAGAAGAGCTTCGATGAGATGAGAAAGGTTGAGCAATGCTCGGATAGAGATGAGTAGTTGAGAAGAACTACTAGAGATGACACATGAGAAGAGATGACATGAGATGAGAAGAGCTGAGATGAGCTGAGATGAGCTGAGATGAGGTGAACAAAACTCAGATGAGATGAGATGAGGTGAAGCGTGGAGTGTGAAGAGTGCAGTGCAAAGTGTGGAGTTTCAAGTGCAATGTTTGGAACAGCACAAAGCACGCACGCTCGGGTCTCGCTGGCGCATGGCGCATGCAAGTTCTATAGATGAAAAATGTCTTCTAGTATAACCCTAAGGCAACTTCCGCCCTGCTTTGTGCAGGTACTACTGGTAATTATTTGCTTTTACAAATGGACAACCAACCAGCGAGTTGAAATCAATGTGTAAAGTCTAGATGTCATCAGTGCAGAAAATCCAATTCGCACAACCCCTCAGACTCCAAAGTCACAAGATACCTGTGATATCTGAGGTGCAGGACAGTTTTGCACTCGCTGGTAATATTTTTCAAGATCTTGTTCAAGCTATGGCCTCAGGTCACATCCAGAGGAGCCCACATGATACGTTGAATTGCAACGATCCGCTCTGATGCAGAAGTTGTATCTCATATAAATCATGTAAGTGTAATGTAAGTCATGTATTTACAGATTACATATCATTCGATCCTCCTTGTAAGTGTCAGGGGTTCCAGTCATCAGCAGTCTATCCAGTCTATCCATCACAAACAACACTTCCTGCGGTCCAAACTCTGCGCATTTCCTCAGGCCGTGGAGCCTTGGAACTCAGCTAGAGACCTCTTGCAGTTCAAGCCTTGGTCGACAGGGCAAGTCCGGCGACGGAGAATTGGGAACGAACAACGGTCACACCCCACACCGTGACAAACGAGGCATCCCGATCCTTTCAAGTACCTGACTCTTCTTGGCTAGGATTTTGTTGATGGAAGCACTCTTTGCAAATTCAAGAAATGGTTCCCTTCAACTAACCAATTTGCCCGCAGTCGCTCAAGCTAAAAAACCGTGCTCAAGACACGTGTTTCCATATCAGAATTATAATTACAACAATTTTGCCCTCCGGAGCACATCGCCGTCATGTTCTTCGCCTTCTTGTTCTTCTTTTCTCTTTCTCCTCCTGGCTCTTCTTGTTCTTGTGCTCTCTGTTTTCTGCATGCCGGGCCCCCAATTGAAACATGTTTGCGACTGGTGCAGCATGCGACGTGCAGATTATGTCGCTGGAGGGGGGCATGGGGGGGCTTTGAAATTAATAGATGTGTGTGTGTGTGTGATATGGTGAATTCTGGACAATAAACTTTGAAGCAAATGCAAACAACTTGCACCAGAAACAGGCTCAATTGAAACTGAAATTCAGCTTTTTGAACTCTGACTTTCAGTCGCTTCCCGAGGTCTGCTAGCCTTCACGTTCAACTTTCTCCAAACTCTGACCTCTATCCAGCTGTTCCTCCTGAAGTGGGAATGCTTGACTTCCTGATTTAGAACTGATGATTTGGTTTGTTCCAGTAAACCGCGATTGTCTCTCAATGGATCATTAGCATTAGCACCCAGAACGGAGGCATTTTTAAGGGCACCGGCCAGTCTGTCTGCCATGTTTCCAGCGCCCCAACGGCCCGCTGCCACCAAGAGGCATGCTGGCACAGGTTCTTCCAAGAGAGTCGAACCTGCAAGACATGGCTACACCCAAATCTAGGATGGACTGCCGCAATGTCGAGCACCTTCCAAGCCGAAAAGAATGAAACTTGAAAAGGTTGAAAAAGGCTCGGGAATGACAAGTATGGCCACCTCAGTGTTGGAACCGAGAGGAAACCTTTCCCGAGCTCAACATCTTGCGGCACCTAACTCGGACTGTGCCGGTGGTGCTGCTGGAACCCCATGAATGCAAATCCAAGGCAAGCCAGAGCAGATGGATGCAAAATGAGCACAACGGCCACATCACAGCAAGCATGATGAAAAGAAAACGCTTGTGACCTCCTTCGGGTTTCGGAAGGAATTTCAAAAAGAAGAGTGTGAACATTCCACCCTTGATGATCATGAAATAGTTGTCAAAAACCAGCACATACCACCAGTAGTCTTGTCGATCTTCCCCCTTGTTGACCACATTTGCCAGTGTGAGCCAAACCAGGTTGAAGAAAACGGGGCTCAAAGCTGCCAGCATCAGCATAGTATTGGCAAAAAGCCATGCAGCTTTGGACGGCATGCCCTTATATGCAGATTGATCTTCAGGACTCAAACCCACTGGCGGAGTTGCATGCCCATTATCTAGCTGATTTCGCATTTGCTGATCGAAACCAACCAATCCTTTGATGTCTTTGTCGTCCAAAGCTTCCAAGGGGGAAACAAGGTTGAATGTCAACGGGGCACTCCTGGGCCTTCGCTTCACTAAAATCGGATCCACAGAAGCTATCCGTCCACATTGCCAGGGTTCTTCCTCGTCATCTCGCACTGCCACCAACTGGCCAACCTGGTATTTGTGACTCATTGCTTGGCGAGCTAGAAAATAAGTTGCAGAAACTCAGCAAGTGGTTTTCATGGTTGCTGTCATTGCTGTGAAACTGCAGTGTGGTTGCTCTTTGCTCTTTGTTTCCTGTCGTTTCTGTAGCTGCGGAAACAGTCAGCACGTCGAATGTTCTTGAAAAATTGTGGTCGATGCGGAAAGAGTCAGCACGTCGAATGTTCTTGAAAAATTGTGGTCAGAACCTTGAACCCTTGGACCAAAATGTGCGAAGAACCAGCGACATGGAAATGAATGTAGGGATTGAAATTCAGATCCCCGAAAAATATGATTTCAGATTTCCTGGGATTCATAAGAAACAAGCAGCAGCACACTGAGATCGATGAAAATATGGTCGTATCATGTCGTATCGTATCATATCGTATCTATTTAAATTTATGTTTATTGTACGGGTTTACCTCATGCCAAGCAAATGGATTGAGAACGGAAACGGGATGCCTGGAACCGCCATCAGAGACGGCAGTTTCAACTCAGGTCCTCAGCACAGCCGCCAGCAATACAGCAACATACAGCAACACATCGCATGCAAACACGGTCAGCCATGGTAACCAATGGTAACCGCTGTCATAAAACCGCTCATGTATCATTTTTCCTGCATGATCCTCGAAGTCTCCCTGCATTGTTTGCACGTCATTTCCGTGCAAACGAATCTCCTTTGTAGGAACTCCTTTGCCTGTCAACTGACATACCAAAGAAGTCTCACAGCTTTTCTTGGATGCAAATAATCATTGCAAAATTAAAGCATGCCTTTTTGGCATTTGGCTTGCAAAAAATGAGTGCAAGCAGGTCATTTCGACAGCAGCTTGCCAAGTCAAGCTTCCCTTGAAGAAGCAATTTGGAACTTGTGCCCCTGCGCAATTCGTTTGCTCTGCCCTTTTTGTTCAAAAAGCGGCAAACGGAAAAAATGTGAGTTGTCCCATGAAAGAAAAAACTCAAACAATCATGAAAGAAACGGTTACAACTACAACCCTCCTCCAGCGAATGTCAAGCCTCAGAATTTCAGCTTTGCGAATGTGAGGTACACATCGCTGTTGCAACAAATGTGGCAGCTTAACACCATGCCAGCTAGGACAGGATCCAGGAAGAGTCGAGCAAAACGACAAAGTCGATATTTGATCAATGCAGGATCAGCACTTTGCAGCCACTGCACAACGATCAACTCGAAGATGTCACAGAAAAGGATCGCAGAAGGAACCACCCATGAAAACAGATCGCGAGGCGCTGTATGATCATGGACATAATTCAGAACGTCCTTCGATGGGCTCAATCGAATCATGGTTCCTGCCAAAAGAAGCATCAGGCTACTTGCAAGCTTGCAACCCATTCGCGGCCAAAAGCGGCAAAACACGATGCCACCAAGCTGCACTGTGAGCAGTTGAAAGAAGCGGAATCGGGAAGGGTCGGCGAAGCCATCCCATACTTTGCCCCATTCCCGACCGCTTCTTTGTACTGCCTCATTTGCCAAAGCCACTTCGAAGCGAACTGGCTTGGGTCGTACAGCCTTTGCTGCACGTTCACGCTCTGCTGCCTTTTCATTCGCCCAGACCTTGAATTTGTCGTCAAACTCCACGGGGACATTGGCCAGTTTTACCTTGGTCTCAGCAAAATAGAAGTAGTACGTCGTTGTTTCGTGAGGATATTCTGCATCTATGGTCCAGGTAAAGACGGCGACAAACCGCTGTGGGACTTCCAGGCAGGTTGCAAAGACTGACAGGAGACAAGTCAGCCGCTCCAAATAACGATACTTGGACCACCTTTGTTCTGCAATGCCCAAGAAAACCTTCCAAGAAGGCACGCCCATGAGCTGCAAGGATTGAAAAGCTGGAGACGACTTGATCCCGAAGTGATAGATGTCAAAGACCATGTCCTTCAAAACCACAAAGGCGACAACTTCAACCCTTGCCATGTACAACATCTCTCGCAGATACATGTATCGGTGCATATCTAAGATGACTGTCGCAAAGTACAGCATCCGTTGTCTGACAATCTCGGGAAAAGGTGCCATGGTATCAAAGAGGAACAGGCCGATCTGCCACACCTTAGCTAACAACGGCATGTAGACTTGTGTAAAGCCGAGTACCCAAAGCAAATCCATGACCGCTCTGGCAAGCTGGGCGTCAGGTAGTCCAAAGTCCCATTCGGAGGATGATTTGAAGCCAAGGACAATGGCGTGAGATGAGCTGATGAAAATCAGATCTGCCACCAGAATCACCACTATGACAACAAAGCGTTTGGTTGCAAAGTAGCGTTCACTTTTCTTGTACTGCACGAAGATGCAAACCGGCATCCAAGCAAAAACAGCTATGGATGCACCCAAGGGGAAATTCAATTTCAAAATACCCCATGAATGCAAATCCAAGGCAAGCCAGAGCAGATGGATGCAAAATGAGCACAACGGCCACATCACAGCAAACATGATGAAAAGAAAACGCTTGTGGCCCCCTGCAGGCTTGGGAAGGAACGTCAAGAAGAAAAGTGTGAACATTCCACCCTTGACAACCATAAAGTAGTTGTCAAAAAACAAAACATACCACCAGTAGTCTTGTCGATCTTCCCCCTTGTTGACCACATTTGCCAGTGTGAGCCAAACCAGGTTGAAGAAAACGGGGCTCAAAGCTGCCAGCATCAGCATAGTATTGGCAAAAAGCCATGCAGCTTTGGACAGCATGCCCTTATATGCAGATTGATCTTCAGGACTCAAACCCACTGGCGGAGTTGCATGCCCATTATCTAGCTGATTTCGCATTTGCTGATCGAAACCAACCAATCCTTTGATGTCTTTGTCGTCCAAAGCTTCCAAGGGGGAAACAAGGTTGAATGTCAACGGGGCACTCCTGGGCCTTCGCTTCACTAAAATCGGATCCACAGAAGCTATCCGTCCACATTGCCAGGGTTCTTCCTCGTCATCTCGCACTGCCACCAACTGGCCAACCTGGTATTTGTGACTCATTGCTTGGCGAGCTAGAAAATAAGTTGCAGAAACTCAGCAAGTGGTTTTCATGGTTGCTGTCATTGCTGTGAAACGGCAGTGTGGTTGCTCTTTGCTCTTTGTTTCCTGTCGTTTCTGTAGCTGCGGAAACAGTCACCATGTCGAATGTTCTTTCAAAGGTCAGAACCCTGAGCCGTTGGACCAAAATATGCGAAGAACCGGCGACATAGGAAAAGTGGATGAAAAATCCATCACAACGTGTAGGTACTCAATTGGAACCTATAGCCATCATGGGCAACTCATTTTTTTCTCCAGTCCCGAGCGCCCAACGCAGAGCACTCAGTGGAAGCCAGCAGCGTAGGTCCTGACCTGCGAGACAAGGCATGTGTTCCTCGATAATGCCGACGATGACGATGACGATGACGATGACGATGACGATGACGATGATGATGATGATGATGATGATGATGATGATTATGATGATGATGATGAGGAGGAGGAGGATGATGATGATGATGGTGATGGTGATGATGGTGACAACGATGAGGATGATGATGATGATGATGATGATGATTGTTATGATTATTAATTATGATGATGATTATGATTATGATTATGATTATGATTATGATGGTGATTATTATGATTATTAAATTATTATCATTATTTTTATTATCATTAGTACTATTATTATTTTGATTTTGATGATGATGATGATGATGATGCTGATGATCATGATCATTATCATGATCATGACCGTAATCATGATGATGATGGTGATGATGGTGATGATGATGATGATGATGCTGATGATCATGATCATGATGATGATGATGATGATGGTGGTGGTGGTGGTGATGATATTGTTGTTGCTGTTGTTGCTGATGATGATGATGATGATTATGATGATGATGATGATGGTGATGATGATGGTGATGATGATGGTGATGATGATGATGATGATGAGGAAGATGAAGATGAAGATGAAGATGAAGATGAAGGGAAGTCTACAAGCACACTGACAGTGATATTGCCCCTGTCAACCGCAGTGTGGTCGGTTCATGGGCAACGCCAGGGCATTTGTCCGAGGAATCATTATGCGAACGTAGTCATCACAGGAAGTTGGCAGCAATCTTCCGAGTTACGGGTGCTTTATTGTGCCAGTTTAGGAAGTGGTGACTTTGGGAAGTGGTGACTTAGGGAAGTGTTGACTTAGGGAAGTGGTGACTTAGAGAAATGTTGACTTAGGGAAGTGGTGACTTAGAGAAGTGGTGACTTAGAGAAGTGGTGACTTCGGAAAGTGGTGACTTTGGGAAGTGGTGACTTAGAGAAATGTTGACTTAGGGAAGTGGTGACTTAGAGAAGTGGTGACTTAGAGAAGTGGTGACTTAGAGAAGTGGTGACTTTGGGAAGTGGTGACTTTGGGAAGGGGTGACTTAGAGAAGTGGTGCCTTAGAGAAGTGGTGGCTTAGAGAAATGTTCACTTAGGGAAGTGGTGACTTAGAGAAGTGGTGACTTAGAGAAGTGGTGACTTTGGGATGTGGCGACTTAGGGAAGTGTTGACTTAGGAAAGTGGTGACTTAGAGAAATGTTGACTTAGGGAAGCAGTGACTTACAGAAGTGGTGACTTTGGGGGAATTGTTGACTTCGGGAAGTGGTGACTTAGAGAAATGTTGACTTAGGGAAGTGGGAGAAGTGGTGACTTTGGGAAGTGTTGACTTAGCGAAATGTTGACTTAGGGAAGTGGTGACTTAGAGAAGTGGTGACTTAGAGAAGTGGTGACTTAGAGAAGTGGTGACTTAGAGAAGTGGTGACTTAGAGAAGTGGTGACTTAGGGAAGTGGTGACTTAGAGAAATGTTGGCTTAGGGAAGTGGTGACTTAGAGAAGTGGTGACTTTGGGAAGTGTTGACTTGGGGAAGTGGTGACTTTGGGAAGTGGTGACTTAGGGAAGTGGTGACTTAGAGAAGTGGTGACTTAGAGAAGTGGTGACTTAGGGAAGTGGTGACTTTGGGAAGTGATGACTTAGGGAAGTGATGACTTAGAGAAGTGGTGACTTGGGGACGTGGTAGCGGTGCAAAACGCATTGTAATGGCTGCATGTATATTGCATGGGACTTATTTTGGGGAGGAGGCCGGAGCGTGAAACATTGTGTTTTTTTCAGGTAAAGTGGCTGCAGCCGGCGATGATGAAAGGCAGCTCGTGTGCGCGGCGATGCGGGTACGCACGTTCTGACTTTTTTGGTTCCTAGAGGGTGTTCTGCAACGTGCGGTTGTTCATGTGTGCGTAGCTATAGGGTGTTTTGGCATCTGTTGCAGATCGCTGTGTAATGGCTGCGTGATTGTTATCATGTTCTGTTGCCACGTGCGTAGATACAAGCAGGTTTGCCACGTGATGCTGCAAAACGCATTGTAGTGATTATTATAATGGCTGCATGTATGTTTTGTGGAACTTGTTTTGGGGAGAAAGCCGGAGCGCCAAACATTGCGCTTTTTCGTTTCAAGTTTAAAGTGGCTGCAGCCGGCAATGACAGGGAGCTCGTGTGCGCAGCGGGTACGGGTAAGCTCGTTCTGAGTTTTTTTGGTTCCTACAGCGTTCTAGAATCTGCAGTTGCAGATCGCATTTTAGTGGCTGCATCAAGGTTTCTTAGTGCTGTGGCTGCGTGCGTAATACGTAAATCGTATTGGGGTGGCTGGATCAAGGTTGCGATGGTGAGTTCTCAGCAGATTCTTCTCAGCATTGGCGCTGATCATTTTCCTTTGAAAATTCCTTTAAAAAAGTGCTTCAAAATCGTCTTTTTTCGCTCTAGCGCCGAGATCCAGTTTTGGAGCTGCAATTTCTGTTGCCATGGCGCATCATTCTATGGCGTTTTGAAACTCAGTGTCTGCAGATCGCCTTGTAAAGGCTGTATGAAGGTTCCTCGCTGCTGCGGCTGTCTGCGTAATTCTATTGTATTTTGCAGCTGAGAGTCGTGAATCGTATTCGAGTGGCTGCATCAAGGTTGCGATGTTGATTGCCAGCAGATTTTTTTCAGAAGCTTGCTATGTGTAAAGCTTTCTGTGTGTGTGTCAAAGCTTGCTGTGCGTAAAAGCTTGCTTTGTGGAAAAGTTTGCTGTGTAAAAACTTCTGTGTGTAAAAAGCTTCTGTGTGTAAAAGGGTGGTGTGTAAAAGCTTCTCATGTTCAGAGGCTTTCTGTGTGTAAACGCTTTTCTGTGTCTCAAGCTTCTGTGTGCAAAAGTTTCTCTGCGCAAAAGCTTTCTGCGCGCAACGGTTTTTGTGTGCACGATCTTCTCTCTGACAATAAAAGCTTTCTGATGTACAGAAGAGCTAAGATAAGCTAAGAAGAGCTTCGATGAGATGAGAAAGGTTGAGCAATGCTCGGATAGAGATGAGTAGTTGAGAAGAACTACTAGAGATGACACATGAGAAGAGATGACATGAGATGAGAAGAGCTGAGATGAGCTGAGATGAGCTGAGATGAGGTGAACAAAACTCAGATGAGATGAGATGAGGTGAAGCGTGGAGTGTGAAGAGTGCAGTGCAAAGTGTGGAGTTTCAAGTGCAATGTTTGGAACAGCACAAAGCACGCACGCTCGGGTCTCGCTGGCGCATGGCGCATGCAAGTTCTATAGATGAAAAATGTCTTCTAGTATAACCCTAAGGCAACTTCCGCCCTGCTTTGTGCAGGTACTACTGGTAATTATTTGCTTTTACAAATGGACAACCAACCAGCGAGTTGAAATCAATGTGTAAAGTCTAGATGTCATCAGTGCAGAAAATCCAATTCGCACAACCCCTCAGACTCCAAAGTCACAAGATACCTGTGATATCTGAGGTGCAGGACAGTTTTGCACTCGCTGGTAATATTTTTCAAGATCTTGTTCAAGCTATGGCCTCAGGTCACATCCAGAGGAGCCCACATGATACGTTGAATTGCAACGATCCGCTCTGATGCAGAAGTTGTATCTCATATAAATCATGTAAGTGTAATGTAAGTCATGTATTTACAGATTACATATCATTCGATCCTCCTTGTAAGTGTCAGGGGTTCCAGTCATCAGCAGTCTATCCAGTCTATCCATCACAAACAACACTTCCTGCGGTCCAAACTCTGCGCATTTCCTCAGGCCGTGGAGCCTTGGAACTCAGCTAGAGACCTCTTGCAGTTCAAGCCTTGGTCGACAGGGCAAGTCCGGCGACGGAGAATTGGGAACGAACAACGGTCACACCCCACACCGTGACAAACGAGGCATCCTGATCCTTTCAAGTACCTGACTCTTCTTGGCTAGGATTTTGTTGATGGAAGCACTCTTTGCAAATTCAAGAAATGGTTCCCTTCAACTAACCAATTTGCCCGCAGTCGCTCAAGCTAAAAAACCGTGCTCAAGACAAGTGTTTCCATATCAGAATTATAATTACAACAATTTTAGCCCTCCGGAGCACGTCAAAAGTCAAAAAGTTGGGGCTGATCAGGGCGGCCAAAACGTTTCGTTTCTTCAAGTAAGAAACCGTCCTCGAGGTGTTGCGTTTCTCATCTTACCTGCTGCACAAAGTCACAAACGCGCCATGGGGTCCCTTCCTTGTGGTGATCATTGAGACATATGTCAGCATATTGTGGTTAAATGTTCAGCGTTTCTCCACACTGCTGACATATAAAGGTTTGAACAAATGTCTTACATTTTTGAGTTTATCAAATGCATTTTCCATCACAGTATATATGTTGTTCAACAACAAATGTCCAAACTACTGAGTGAAACAACAAAAAATGAATCGCACTATATAGCTACATGATGTTTATATTCCATACTGTGATCTGCATACTGGTTTCTCTGTGTATTTGACTGAAAAACTGCAAATGCAAGAAATTTGGGAATACATGTAATGGCGACACATGTGTCTGAGGGCGGATGAATGATCGAACGCCACAACTAATCAAGACCCAAACGAATTTCGCTAACATGGCGGCCGTAGTAAAAAAAAACAACTAATTTGCAAAAAAATAACCTAAAGTCCCCGCAAAGGC